CCCTGAGGTCCAAGGGCAGCAGCAGAGACATACTCAGCAGAGACTTATCAAGTTCAGATACCCTGAGAGTCCTCCCTGGGAATTTCAGGAACAGATGCAGCCTCAGGGCAAATTCCCAGAGGAGTATCCATCTAGGACAAGGGACAGGGCTGAGCACTCCCAGCCCTCTCTGGTCATGGGTAAAAGCAGCAAGGTTGTGAGGAAGGTGAGGGGACGGCCCTATATAAGATTCTGTGAGGTCCCAGCAGAGGTCAAGCGAGAGAAGAGCCCAGACGAGGACCCAGGGCAAAATCTGAAGAGGAGCCCAGGAGATCTACCCAGAGGTTCGAGACTCTCATCTCAGGAAGTTCTGCAGGACGCTCAGGGGGAGACAGAAAGGCCCACCACGAGGCCCTGGAAGTGTGATTCAGACAGTTTCCTATTCAGCAGCCCAGATGAGAATCATTTCCAGAAAACACTGAAAGCCCACCTGGGCAATAAGCTGGGGAAGGTCACTGAGGACAGGGTTCCCGTGAGTATACGTCAATCCTGGCTGGCAGCCAGCCATGCTGCACCCAGGCCTGACACCTGTCTGAGCCCCAGGTATGTGGCATCCCGGGAGGGCCCGGGCTCCTATGTGAACACCTCGCAGGAGCTACGCTTCCTGCCTCAGAGCACTTGGCAGAGGCTGGAGACCCGCCTGGCAAGGGGTCGAGTGAGGCCCAGGTGGGGTCCACAACTCCAGACCCTCAAGCTCAGATGTGTCCAGTTAGGGGAGCCCCAGCCCTTACATCTCTCATGGTCAACTATCCCCTTCTCAGTCAACTGTGGATCTGGGACCAGCCTGAGAACTAAGGTGGCCGCACTCCTGGAAGACGCACCTCAGAAAGCTCCAGGACAGGAGGGGCTAACAAAGTCCATCCCTACTGTGCAGACGCCTCTCTCTACTCCCTCACCTGCATTTAATAAAGTCCAAGGGACCCTGAGAAGGACTCCAGCAAGCAGCACCGGACAGTGGGCCAGGTGGTCCTCCCAGCCCCTCACAGGCAGCCTCAAGGGAAGAACTGAGCAAAGAGAGAGTGATCACAGGGACTGGGAGAAGTGGTTCAGAACCATGTCCAAGTCCAGCACCAGCCAGGAGTGGGCCACAGGAACAGAGAGGGAGTGAGGCCTCCCCAGACTCCGGCCATCCCAGAAAATCCCTGCATAGCAGTATAGGGTCCCAGTCCTTGAGGACCAAAGACAACATGGGGATAGTGAAGCCCAAGGAGAAGAGTCTGGCTTGGAAAATCACTGTGGAAACCAGTATACTGGCAAACTTAAAAATCATTAATATGAGTCCGAGCAGCTCAGGGTCTCCAGGGAGGAGTCAAAGCCGCTCTCCTGCTGCCAAGAAGGTGCAAGAGCCAGGCCTAATATCACAGTGTGTCAATGACCTTGAGATTGAGGTGGAGATCCACGGAGAGCACCAGGCTCTAAGCCCTGCCCGAGGTGTCCTCCTTCAAGACCTCACCACTGGCGTCATCTGTCAAGGCCGCACTGCTGGAACGAGGATTCAAGACTACCTCAGGGGTGGTTGCCAGGGCCTCTCGGGCCACTCCGGCTGGCTCCCAGAACTTGTCTGGTAGGAAAGCGTCAGCTGCCCAGGAGACACGTGACTTCACAAGGAGGGCAGGGAGCAGCCAAGGGCAGCAGGTGCCCAGGTCCCAAATAGTTCAGAGCCCGTGGAAGAACCAGACCAAGATGCCTGGCCCTGATACGACAGGGGGCTAAAGGAGGCCTAGATCAGGAGGGCAGGAACAGGGGCTGGGAGGACCCGCATGCTCACAGACCAGTGGGATGAGCCACCCTGTCCAGGGTAGGGGAATAGGAAACGTGCTTGGAAGTAAAGACCCAGAGCTCTTGGAGGAGCAGGGACAGGCACCCACAGAAAGATCTTCTAGGCAAAAGATAATACTTATTAAGTATTTTAACCCTATTAAAAAGAGAAAAGGGCTAGAAGAGCCCCTGCAGAAAGATAAACCCCCAATGGCTACTGCCCAGTAGTGGGGATGAGTCATGGGCAAAGTGTTCTCTGACAGCCGGGGTGCAGATGCCCAGGCGCTCAGTGAGATTGTTGCAGAGATCCTGCTTAACAAGCTGAAGCTTCAGCATGCAGAGGGTCCCTCCAAGTTCAATTGCCACAAAGACTATTTCCAGCCTGCTGTGGGCAGGTGTTCCAGCAACCACAGTGGTCCTTCCTACCCAGAGCAGAGGAGAGTAAAGAAAGATGTGGCCTCCGGTCATCAAGCCACTTCCAGGGGCCACAATTGTACCAAGAACAGGTGGATCCAAGACAAGGACAGCAACTGGATCCCGTCAGCCAGAGAGTCTTTGCCCCAAGCCAACCACAAGCAGCATAGGCCAAGAGGGGCAGGAAGCACAGACTACCCCATCTACTCTCCTGGCCACTACCTCCTATGGCAAGATGTCCCATCTGGGCCATCAGGTCCTCCTCCTCACTCCTTCCTGCAGGGGAAAAGCTCCAACCAATTGGGAGCTTGTCTCACTCTGTCTCAAGTGAGCACATCCTGTGAATGCCAGTGACTAGTCCCCGTCAGACTCACTTTGTTTCCTAACACACATGTGTTCTTAGAAAAGGTGGCTCTGTTTGTGAGTTCTGGGGCCCAGGGAAGGTCTTCATCTGCATTCCCTGAGTGCGGCTCCTAGAAGGCATGCAGCAGCTGCTCTGCAGACAGGATTCCTAGGTGCTCCCTAAGGTCCCCTCTCTGGGTCACTGTAGAAACTAAAGGAAACCTTGAGGGCATGGCAGGGTGAACCTATGAGGATTTCACCCCAGGGCCTGGTACCACCTATCCGTCCTCTTCCCCTCCACCTTGAACTTCCTGCAGTGCTAAGAGACAAATTTACTGAGGCATCAGAGAGATGAGCTTCTCCTGGGGTTCCAAGCCACTGCCCGAGTAATGTAGCTTCGCTGTCACAGGGGGAGGGGGGGAATTGGTAGGGGGAGGGCATTGAAGGTATAAAGTTCAGTGATAAGAGAAAGCTTAACCCCAAGTCTCCTAGAGAGGATTAGAGTGTTACCAAACTCAAATCAGGTGCGCTAGCCCAAGCGCTATAAAATGAAACCACGGGTGCACCGTGTGATGAGAAAAGCACAGCTTCATTGCAGAGCGCACAGCAAGGAGAGCAGGCAGCTCATGCTGAAAAGACCCAGTCCCCAGGTGTGCCCGACACGTGTTTACACGGGCAAAATTAGGGGCAGAGGACCCAGGCACGTGGTCAGTTCCATGACTGGCTCAAGAGACTGTGATGATCATCTGGGCAATCTTAGATGATCCAATTTCTCTTCAGGTGTCTGGAGCCATTCAGCCTGGGGTCTTTTGAGCTCACAATCAGCAGTTTTCTTCCTACAACACATCTTACCTATTGACATGAAAACCTTTTCTTTAAGTGAGAGTTTCAGAGGTCAAATGGCCCTAATTCAAGGTCTATGTTGTTTCTTTATCATAACCAAAGTCTGAAGACTTCCCCCTTACTCTGGCCCATTTCAATGTAAATGGACCCTGTATTCAAAGAACCTCAGAAAATACACATTTAATTCTGCCTTTATTAATGATCATTTTGGGAAATTCTCTTTCTTTAACTGAAGGGAAACTGAGGACTCATCCCTCTTAGAGGATCCCTGCTTGGTTTTAAGAGAGCACCTTCCTCCAGGGTGTCCTGCTCTCCCGATCAAGCAGGGAGAAAGAGGGGCCAGGCCAAGCCCTCCCACCTATGGGCAGGTGGTGCCCCCCTCCCAGGCTTCTGCCTTCCTCATTCTCAGGAGCAGCAGGGAGGACAGACCTGCAGCTCTGCCTGTGAGTAGGAGCAGAGGGCAGGTTCAGAAAGGGCATCTTCTCTGCCCAGGGTCTCACCTTCCCCTCTGGTGCACATGGTGGGCCCAGGAAGGGCAGTGGGAGGAGGGTTAGAAAGGTCGGGGCCCAGAAAGGAGGCTGTATCAGGGTCACCCTCAGGGGTGCAGTGAACAGGAGCCCCTGAGTCCTGCCACATCCACAGCCCTTTGAGTAAGAGACCTCGGGGCCAGCACCTCATCCTGACCACACAGAACCCTGCACAGCTCCCAGATTAATGAGCTGGGGAAGCCGGCTTCAGCCCACAGAGGCCAGACTGGAGAGGAGGCACAGCCCATGAACAGGGAGGATGAACTCCTGACAGCGCACACCATCAGCTGCAGGAATCACCTCCTGGAGTCCAGTAAGGAGGAAAGCCCCTGAGGGAAAAGCCCAGACAGGGATCTGGCGAGTGGTTCACAGTCTGGTGACTGTGACATACAGACGTGGCCCCAGGGCTGCTCCCAGGGAGAGGGAGGGGACTTTATAGGCCAAGGGACTGGCCTAGGGTTACAAAGACTCTCACCTTACTCCTTGCTTGCTCCAGAGACCTGCAGGGAAGACAGAAAAGTGTCCTGTGCAAAATGAAGGGGGTGGGGGGGGCAGGCCAGGAGTGTCCCTGCTCTTGCCTCCCTCAGTTTTCCAGCACAGGTCACATCTTCCCAGGGCCCCATTCACATGGGAAAGCAGGAGGCCCCATTAGCAGCCAAAGGAGGAAACAGTCCTCAAGCGATCCTCCAGTGATCTCCAAACTGGGTCAGCAGGGTGGAACAGGCCACAGGCTCAGGCTCTGGCCAGCTCCGGGAGCCATATCTCCCTGGAGCAAGGCTCCTTCTAGGCCCAATGACCTAGGCAGCCTCCAGGATGGTCTTCACACTGCCAGGACCCCTGGAGGGGTTGGGCTCTCAGAGTGGGATTCCCCACAGCTTGGCCCTGAAACAGTTGCTGGGCTGGTGTGCCAGAGCTCTGAGAGGCGGGTTCTAGACTGTACAGGAGTTAGACATAAAACCCCCAATCTGGGGAGAAGTGCAAGGATGGTGATGCCAGGGAGCACCAGGACCCAGGAAGAGTGGGTCCCTGTGCTACCCCACCTTGTCCCCAGGAGCTATAGAGAGGTCAGTGACAGTGATCACCCAGAGACATCCACAGAGACCCACACTAAGGGACCACCTAGAGACATTTATAGAGTCCCACACACAGATTTCTCAGGACCTTCAAAAGACCCAGACCCAGAGACTTCCCCTGATCTCTTAAGAGACCCACACTCAGGGCCTGTAGGTTGTGTAGCAGGTATGTTGGTGGACTCTCACATGGTCGACCACTGTACCAGTCCTGGGTCCAGCAGCTTGAAGATCACGCCGGATCCGTGTGCATGAGTGCCCAAGATCCCAGGAAGAGCATGGAGGAGAAGAGATTGTGACCATCCCTCCTGAGGGGTTGATTTCTTACTTACCCTCTCATTGTCTCTGTTTCTGTCTCCCTCTAGCAAACACACACACCCTAAGGCAAAAACCTCTAAAAAACAAAAAACGATTATATAAAGAGACCCACACTCAGAGACATTCAGTAACTTCTACAAAGACCCATATCCAGACACCCCGGAGACATCCACACTGCCAGAGACCCACACGCAGTGACCTCTTCAGAAACTCACAAGCAAAGACCCCTAGAGATCTCCACAGATGCCCAGAGGCCCCCCAGAAACTTCAGAGCATCATTTTGTGAGAGGGCAAGAGCAGACAAGGTGAGAAATCAGCCCTCGGGGGGAATGGCCACACCATAATCCCCTGTACTCCATTTTGCTCTTGGGATTTTGGGTAAGCACTGTGGACAGAAGTCTGACTACTTTTCCTATTTTTCCAAAATCTTTTTAAAAGGGAAGGGGGAAGTCATGCCACAAACATTGACAGACCATTTATTTTCTATTAACGGAATTCTTCTTACCTCCTGTCCCTGGCATGGTATCTTTGAGATGTGTATTTCAACCAATTACAGTATATTCTTTTGCTTATCTCTTCCTAAGACACAGAACTTCCCTTTCCTTGAGATGTAGATTAAGCCTTTCTTTAACTAATCTCTTCCCAAGACACAGATCTTCCCTTCCAATCACCAACCTAAGAATTGTCGAACCCACCTATAACCTACAAGCTCCTGCTTCTACATGTCCCACCTTTTTGGGCCAGACCTATGGAAAATCTTTTCACTACATGTTGTCTGTCAACCTCAAAACTAAATAAAAGGAACCTCTGTACATGATCACCCCGAGAAAGGCATG